AGAAAAAACAAAACAAATACAATGAACCATGCAAGAGCAAAGTACAACAACTTAAAAACTTAATAAGATAGCATGAGATAATGAGGTGTCTCAGGCTACTTTGAAGTGATCAATAATAGAATTTCCAACAAGATTCCCAAATATTAGGGAAAACAAAGTCATCTTATGTTTGTGGTACAAGAAAAAGTCAAGGCAGGTCTGTCAAAGCAGCCATGACCTGTTAAAATGTGGTGTTAAGAGTACCTTTAAGAATCAAAGCTGACAATAACAACAATTCCATCATATTGTAGTTGGTTTACATATTTGCAACACAATACTAATAAGTATGGAGACTAGTAACACAAATTGGCAATAAAGGAACAAAACATACAGAGCTGAAGTAAAATGTTTACTGCAGAACACTGCCTTTTCATGGTCACTCAGTCTTCTAAGTAACACTTCTCTGCCCCATCATTTTGATACAAAATTCGTGAATAACAAATAAATAAAATCATTCTAATGTTTAATTAGAATCACAAAACAAATATGTATTTATGTACGTTAGTGATTGTACAAATGCACTTAAAATAGTTCTAAAGAAACTTTCACAAAAATTAAAGTAGATAGTGATGCTGTGAGCAGCTCACATAAGTCAAAGCTCGGAAAGTTTAATTCACATGTAGGTGACAAGACAGTTTTCTGCAAATGGAATCAAAACCAAAGTTGAAGATACGGCATCCCTCATTGATTCAGCAAATGGTCCACCATGCTCTATTCCAACTCAAATTTGAGCTAAGACAGTAGAACCTGTAATTGTGATAGGCTAGTTGAAAAGAAATAGAAACTTATCTGGACAGTATGGTCATACAGACCTGTATTAAATGAAAATTTAGGCGTGTGCTCTTGGCTTCATGAGCCAAAAAAAGCTTATGTTCAAAATCTTTTGATTGGGTAGTACTTTAACAAAAAGAGAGCTAGAGTAGTTCTGGCCTTCTCTAGAAGCCAACCTCTTCCTTCTACCCTCTAATAAATGAAGATGAAAATATAATCTGCAAATACTTATGGTCTATAACCAGTGGAGTATGACAAAAATCTAGATATACAGATAAAAAACACACAATAAGAAGTGCACTAATATGCGCTACTTGTTCTCAGGTACTAAAAGAAATACTGCAAGCTAAGAGGAAGCACTGAAGAGGTTTCGAGGCAAAAGATGAGACACAGCTTTGTAAACCAAATCAAATACAGTACCTACTTAATATAAAGATTGCCCATACAACTGTTGAAATTGTGGAAATGATGAAAGATCCCTTAGAACAATTTTATTATTCCACAACATGTAATCCCACCATTAATCAAATATAGAGGGAAATGTACTACAATTATGCATTGTATGTGAAAGCATACCCAGAAATAATTTAAATGTAGCTAATTTTTGTGAGATGCTAAAAGCAAAAATATACTTAGATAAGTATACAAAATTGATTAATTCCATGTGATAATCAGAAATATTAAGGTGCTGACAACAGCATTGCCAAAATATTTTCTCTTTCAAAATTGAGATTTAATCCACATAAACATGTCAAACTTCAGCAGAACAAAAAACCTTGGTAATGTGCTCCAAGAAATACAACTTGGAAATAGCAATGAGGCGATGAAACATCTAAGGATAACAAAATGGCTAAAAGCAGCTAGCCAAACAATAAAAATGCAATGTGTAGTGAAAGAAAATTACGGCACAAAGTTTCTGAACAAAACTACAAGAAAACAATCAAACTTCCAACCGAAATTTTTCTCTTCTTTACTTTAAAAAAAAAGTAACACTACTGAGATATCAAAAAGCACAAGCAGCCTACATGACATCAACAAAAAACTCACAAGGATTGCCCATTGCCATCCGGAATGATTGCCGACTGCCTGAAATGTCTTCAGCATTGGGTGTGCCTGTGGCTGTTGGGCCGCTGCCAACAGAACTCCCTTGATGAGGTGGAGTTGTGGTTGTAGTTGCAACTGATTGTTCTGAACCACTCGAGCGAGATCTTGATCCTCCGGACCGGCGTCCGCCTCCATGACCGTGCCCATGGGTGCGAACCAGGTCACTGTCACTTGCTGAGCTTCCACCTGACTTCAGCAGGTCCTTATCTTTTAAACAATGCTGCTCTGAACCATTGCTGCTGCCTCCTGCAAACACAAGTTTCCAAAAATGTCATCTGCAGAGAAGACACAAACAAGGCATTGAAATCTACTCATGCTAAATGATAGAAGTTGTTATGTTACCCCAAAAGTAAAAAAAGAGCCGTAAGCCCAGAAAGACAAAAAGCACATTGCAAGTTATGGTTTCTAAAAATATTTACATAGAAATGTTAAAAAAAACCATCCACAAGCCAAAAAATCTACAAACAAGATTAAAGTGGAAATATGTGAAAAATTGATATGTAGAAAAGATCAGATATCACTTCTTTGCAGTAAATGTTATGTGTGTTTCTTTGAAAGAAAAAAAAACAAGAAAAAAAACAACAACTTCTAATTAGTCTGCTATCACTGCAACACACACACACTAACACACACACTGACACACACAAGCTTAAATAGCCAGAAGCAAAAAAGCAGAAGGTGTGATGGTTTATACTGTTTTGTAATCAATAAAAAGCTATAGTGACTTCGTCCATAATCAAATATGAGGAACTGAGTCATTTTGGATAGATATACTTACAGATGTAGTAATTGGGAAAGACATTACAAATTAATGACTTTTAAAGTACAGAATTTCACTGATATCGAAATAATACTGTAGCTCAAAAATGTCTTGGATACATAAATCAAGGAAAATATTTGAATATTGGGCAAAGAACAGACCAGAAGAAATACCTTTAACAACACCTTCAAACAAAAAGAGCCGCAACAAAGGACACTTACATTCTAGCAGCAAAGTCTCAGCATCCAGTAACGTCTCTGCATCCAGTAAAGTCTCAGCATCAGATGGAGATAAGCTTTGAACAGTTGTGGGCTCACCTGAGCCGGAGTGGACACTCGCACTCTCTTCACGACCGTAGCTGTATGCCCCAGGCTCATTGTTGTAGTTGAATGGCATAGGTGTATATCCAGCACCATGAGGTAGATACGTGCCAGCATAGGGCATGTGTGTTCCAGTCCATGGTGCAGTTGCTACAGTGCTTGGAGGAGGAAGGGGTCCAACTGTGTCTCGATCAACTGATACACAATCATCATGAAGCTTGAGGGTAGACATTGCTGAAAAACAAAGGGAAAAAACAATCAAAAAAGGTTCTTAAAAAGACGTTATAAAAACCCAAATTATTATTATTATTAATTTTTATATTACCGTGACTAAGAACATCACCAAATATATAATAACATTGCTCAGAAAATGTGATTTTGTTCACAGTATGCCTGATGTATCCTGCTTTAAGCATCTGAGAAGCATATTTACGGGCTTCTCGACGATCCAAGAAACCCTCTACATGACTATTTAACCAATCAACAACATCAGCCCCTGTGCACCAACAAAAAATAACAATGTAACACATTGAAAGGTGTAATACAAACACGCTAATTGAACAAAAGAATAAAAACAAAAAATACAAACCAATAAACGCATTTGGTATGGTTATTTTTAACCACATACGATCCCTTATTTCTAATCCTGAGTCTGGTCGGGCCATTGCAGCAACTATAGTTGACATGTCTGTATTGACCGTCAGGTGCAGTTCTTCAAATGGTCCTAGGAAGGTTTCATCATTGTTACAAATTTATAAAATATCAACCAAACAAGTTATACTGAGGGAACAAAAAGAGGAGCACATAGAAAGATAAAACCAACTTACTTTCAGTATCAGGCAATGTTGAGTTGATTGAGGAGCTTGTTGAAGTAAGAGTACTCACAGAAGGTGGTCTCAGGGGAAAAGACTCACCTGAAACATAAGCAAATCCAGAAATGAAAAATAGCTACCTCAAAATGAACTTGAAAAGTCAGCAACTTATTTTGATTGAATAATTTTTCCAGTTATGTTTACAGTAACAGAATTACATTCCATATGTGGTAAATATGAGTGATATCCACAATAGGAATATTGCTGATTAACTTGGACTTGGGTGGTATGGGGTTCAAGCAATAAAACAAGATCAATTACTTCACAGAAGGTGTAAGGACAAACAATAATAAATTACCTCTTAATGCCGCTGTGTGGGCCACCCATGCACCAGGATCTATTGGCCTTACTGGTTCAGTGCGAGGAATAGTGAAATAGCCCTTTGGGTTTGGATCCCAACATTTGGCAACTACTAGTTTAATAGGTCTGAAATAAAAAGTCTGTTAATAAGGTGTCAATGTAGATAAACAAGGTACCCACAGTTATGGTTTGCTAAAAATCAACATTACCCAGGTTTTTGCACAACTTCTCTTAGCACTCTAACAGCTTCATCATTTGACATGTTCTCAAAATTTATATCATTAACCTGCAAGATCATGTCACCTGGTTCTATGCGGCCATCCAAAGCAACGGCACCCCTGTTGAACACAAAATATGTTGGGTTTTGAAATAATTCACCATTACTTCCCTAAATTTAAATTAATTGCTAATATTTACCCTTTCATAATGGACCCAACATAAATGCCGCCATCACCACCTTTATTGCTCTGTCCAACAATACTGATACCCAGAAAATTAACTGTGTCCATATTTAATGTAACAGTGATAATATTAAGAGACATGGTGGAATCTGTAATGGATGAGAATGATGATGTACGAGACATTGCTGGAGGAGCTCGGTGGCGTCTTCTTCTCTGTGGTCTTCTCCGTGAATGGAGTCTTGAGACCACACTTGATGAATCTAGAAGACATAAATTAAAAAAGGTTGTCAATTGCATTACTATGTAGAGTATAATGTCCATTAAGAATAATTGTAGTAAGAAACACACCAAGCGTGCCTCGGTCCATTGACATTTGAGTATGCCTTCCTGTCGTGGAGGTAATTCTGCTAGAAGCATCATCCTCAGACTCAAGAAAACTTGTTGTTTCTAGATCTGAACTGAGCATGGAAGATGATTCGTATCCATGACCACTTCTATGTCTTGAATGTCCATTCATTCGCAAGCCTGATTTAGGAATGGAAAAAAAAATAATGAAAATAATCTTGACACATAAAAATAGCAAACGAGAACTGAGAAATTGGAGTCAACTTGCCATTGTATTGGTTGTATTTTTCATGGCGAGCACTTTTGTGTAAGCTGTGGTGGCCAGGTCGGGAACTAATGATTGACTCGGTTTCAGTACAAGTCAGATCATCAACATTTGATCTCATAAGTGAAGGATTTCCCATCCTAAAAAGATATATTAAGAAATTTAAAGAGGATATAGAATAGAACATAATGTATTTCCAAAATAAGAATAATATCATACCTTGGGTCACTTGGACGGTCACCATTTTTACCATCTGAATGAGCAGCGCTTTCAGTGCATTGTGACGTGCCATCAGACACATTGCTTCCTTCTGCAGAAACAAGCTGCAACGAAATTCATTATTAAAGATTACAAAGACTTAAAACTAAAAGGATACCTTGTAATAAAATAAAATAAATACCCATGAAACTACGCGGCCATTGAAACATGGTAGATGTGCCTCATCATCCACAATTTCTTCTTTCACAACCCTGTAACAGATAAACAACAATTCATGACAGAGGAGATATTGTTGTTTTAGAGAATATAACATACACAAGGGTAGAATAACTAAATAAGGCCCAAACAAGGACTTTATCTAAATCCAGATTTGACAGGCCGTTTTAGAAAGAAAAACAAAATACAGTTTCTTGCTCAATTATCTTTGGCAAGTAAATGGGTAGAATTTGATCACCTCATATATACTTAAATTGGTGTTGTAGAACACTGACAAAATGAGCAAGAGAAACTAGGTTGATATTGCAAATGTATTAATTTGTGTTTATTTTCAATTGAGAAAGTGGGCAAAATAGGCTTAGGCAACCAGGAGCCGATTTCGGATATTTTACAAATGCAGAAAATGCAAGGGACAAAACAGCAAGTGCTGGAAATACAAGGAGGCTGACCGTGCGCCGAAAAAATACCCACAGGGTTAAGAAAAGACTCAAAGACACAAGTAAACTTACCCAAAATCATCATCCATCGACTTAAAAAAGAACTTGTAGTTAGGGCGGTTGAGAACATTTTTGAAGTCCGCGAGAGTAACTTGATCAGGAGCGATGGGCAATTTCACTAAGTATGGAGTTTCTTCGTCGTCTATGTGGTAAATTACTTTAGTTTCATCCATTTCTAATCAGACAAGTCAACAAGCCTCAGCCCGCAAACACAGCATTTATTTTCAACATGGAGGACTAACGAGGACGTCAAATTTCTTTTGGCTGGTAGCCCTTCGACAACAAGATGGCACGGCCAGCTTTCTCTTACTTTCCACTGAATAATAATTAGAAATTCCTCGTGTAGTGGGTAAAACCACGCAATGTGTCAATTATTTTTGCCTCTGCAGGTTTTGTTTATCAATTAAAATGTGTACGACAAACCACAGACCGCAATCTACAAGAATCCGGGCTCGCTTAAGAAAATCCGCTCCGCTCCGCTCGGCCGTGGAATGGAAACGGCGGCCGGCAAGGCTCGATCCTGTAGCTTGTTTTGAACCAACGTTCTCAATGCGAACAATAATTTGATAAATATTTGTTTAAGTAAATGGTCTGACACAAAAAAGTATTATTCATCATGGAGAAAACTAATGCTAAAGCGAAATCTGCAGCACCGACTGTAGATCAAATCAATGCTGACCATATCACAGAGGTAAGTTGCCCTTGTTTATGCAAAACCTAACCTCATCTAATAAGATATTTGTTTGTCAATCAGTGGATTTAAAGTAAAATAACTCACGTCATTTCTTATTAAACTTAACTAGAAACTTATCAAGAACAAGATATTATTTTACTGCTATTAAAGAGCTTATGATGTATTTTAGCATTGGTTTGGTTATCATACCCTGCAACTAAACAAGTTTTGTTTTCATTCTCCTAGTTGTCCAATAAATATTGGGCGCCATATACCGAGTCATCACTTCTTCCATTTGATCCTAAGGTTGTAGAAGACATTTACACCAAAGAAATACTTGGATCGAAGTAAGTTCTGAGTGATGTCATTTTCAGCACCACCTTATGTTGACAGTTCCGCCTAAATAATTTTCTTTAATAGTTTTTCAGTACGGCGAACAATGATGCTCGAGTTCAGTCAGTGTCTAGAGAATTTTTTGTGGCCCAACTATAAGACAGGTGAGTCATCTCATGCTCACATGATGGCCATTGTGATCCTTCTCAATGAAAAGTTTCGGGAGCGAGTGCCAGTTTGGGAGGTAAGGGAAAATTCAATTATGCATTTTTAAAACGTCACTGACGATCAGGTTTACTCTATTACTGTTTTTTTAACATGTATTCCAGGCTTTTAAGAAAAGGCCAACACATTTTCCTGGTTTTTTCCAACAAGTTCTGGAGGCTTGTCTGATAGACACTGATCCTGGACGTCTGAAAGAGCAACTTAAAGAACAGACTGCTTTACTGGTTTTTCTTAACCACTGTTTTAACAGCATGGAAGTTGATCTAATCCGTGAGCAAGTCAGGAGGCTTGTTTCATTATCAATGTGGATTTCACTACAACAGGTGCATATAAAAATGAGTAATTATGTGTTTTATTTGTCTACAGTAGGATACTGTTTACAGACTACAGCTGATTGTTTTTGTTGTAGGGCCGTCGTGAGCAAGAGCTAAAACTTGTCCCTAAATGGCGAAAGTACTGGAAGGTGCTGCAGAAGAAAGATTCTCCTGAACAGCGAGAAAAATTGGAATGGGAGCGTAAATTTCTGCATCGATTGATGTTGAAGTTTCTTGATATTCTTGAAAAAATACCAGAGGAAGGAGGTAAGTTTAACATTCATCTTGATTCCAACTATTCATACACTTCCTGTAACATTTTAAGAATGTATTTTCACCCATCTCTTTCACAGGTGCTGTGTGCCCTCAGGTTCTCCGGTACTGTGAGCGATTTATGGAATTTGTCATTGACCTTGAAGCCCTACTTCCCACTCGTCGATTCTTTAACACAGTCATGGATGACTGCCATCTTGTTGTCAGATGTCAGCTCTCAAACCTTGCAAATCGCGCGGATGGCAACCTCTTCATGCAGGTAAGAGTTATAAACTAATTATGAATCAACAAAATCAAACTTTTTGATTTTGAAATCTTTAACACTTTATTGTGGCCACATTTGTGGTCACGTGGGACCCAATGCGTTAAATAGAGTTGGCAGTGTTGACGTGGCCTACTTAGTAGATTGGTTAAAGAGTACCCTTAGAATTGGAATTGTCAATTGGAATTATTGAGACGATTGACAATGAATGTAGGAGTTTATGTTGGTTTTTAACTGAGGTAGTTGAACATCGTCAAGAAATTGTGACGGTTGTCAATTGAGACGAATTCAGCATTCCTTGGGTTTTTGTCACCTATCAGCAATGCGTCTGAAGGTACCCACATGGGGCATGGAGGGTATACCTGGCCCCAGGTGTGTCCTCACCCAGTTTTAGGTCATCTTGAATCTTGCAAGGGTCTCAAATTTAGAGTTTTGGTGCAGTATCAAGTAGTAGGTGGGAAAATGTGGACTTTTCTTTGGCTTGGAGGGCAAGCAAGTCATAAGATTGAGTTCTATAAAAAATTTATACAAATTAAAAAAAAACACAAAAGTAAAACAGCAATGTTAACAATATTTTAACACACATTTAACAAATGAAGTTTATACATCTAATAACTATAGAAAGTTACTTTAGAATTCATTTCCTCCTAAACTTTGTTTTAACTTTTTACTTCCACAAATTTTTAGTTAAAGTTGTCAAGAGTATCAATGTAGTGCATTTCCTCTCCCCATTCACAAGTTTCAGGGGTGGGTTCACCAGGACGACAACAGGTACATATACAATTGTCATAACAGCAAGTTTTACGCAGGTGAAATGTTACTCTTTTTTGGCTCAATACACATATATATAGTAATAGTAAAGCTTGCAGTATGTTTGTGCTAATATTTATGTAGCACAATAAAGGGGATGGAATCCATGTCAACATAAAGAATAACCATGCTATTGTCATAACCAGAAATACTTTCACAAACATTTGAAAGCTATATTTTAGTTTGCTGTGAATTCTACCAAAAGACTGTATTCTACTTATGGTGTGTGCTGTACTCCTCCAAAAGTAAAAGTTGATGATGACTAGAACAGCAACAGGGACAAAGAAAACAGCTATCCCCATCCATCCTAAACAGAAAAATCAATTATTGGTTTCAGTTTTTAAAATTTATTTTCATGCTGTATATCTCATTTAACTTTACTAAGGGTTGGCCCATACCATGTGTGCCAGCTAGTGCTGAACACATGACTGTGTTACTTACCAACATTCCTCTGGTTGGCAGAGCACACAAGAGTAGTGGTTGTCTCTTTACTGGGAAACATGAAGTGGGCAAACAATGCAATGATTCCGAGTGTCGCTGTACATCCCCATACATAACAAGAATAATAGCAATATTTGCGTCCATCTGTACTTCTTAAAAAGACATTGCTTGACCTATAAAGTGAAAAAAATTAGATAAGTTAAATGTATGAAAAGTTGTAGTAATAGGAATCAAATTTAAGCTTCTTTTCTTCTTAACAATTGGTACTCACTTGAAATGTCGGTGTACATAGTAACCCATACTATTAATCCAGAAGAATGCCGCCAACAAAGAAGTATATAGAATTGCATCTATGGGGAAAAGTAGGAAAAACTCTTATGAAAAAGTATTTGTTGACAATATTAGTGAGTATAATTCAATTACGCACTTACCAGCAACCAAAAAGCTGACATGGCTACTAAATTCAGTGAATGTACGCACAAGGTCTGCTGTCTGAGCTACTATGAGGCAAATACTGATAGATGTTATTATATTGCCAACAAGATCTCGTAGTTGTGGCAAAATAAAGTAAACTATGGCAATTGACAGAAAGCATATTATGCAAAATACGTGGCAGAGAGGGTCTACAACACGGGATATCAGGAATTCAGTATTTGTCCAGTCTGTCATAGGCTTTGGTATGCATAATTGTGAGTATATAGATTCCCTTCCATCCTCTAAGATTGCCTACAAAGTGAAAGATTTGTTTATAATCAGTTAAAAGTATTGAATCTCATTTTTTAAGGCATAAATTACCAAGTAATAATTAGTCACCTTATCAAGACAGTATTGTCCTTGCATGTAATCATAAAATCGAGGCTCATCTTGGAGTCCATTATGTTCAAATGATTCAAGAGATTTACCAGGGCTGAATTCGCTACCTGCTTCCTATTTTTT